ATTATATTTATTAAATATAATTATTTTTTTACATAAAAAATTGTAATAAATCTTAATTATTAAAAGAGAATAAATAAATTATTAAAATTTTATATAGAGAAAAGAAAAAATCAGGATATCCTGATATTAAAAATTATCAGAACATTTAATAATAATAACATGATAGGTAGGGCATGATATAAGTCTTAATTTTATTAAATTTATCATATGATTATTATTGAATATCTCAACACTTTTAATATTAGGACATCTGATTTTCTCTTTTTCTTTTTGTATAAATATAATATATAAAACTTGTTTGTAGATAGATTCATACTCTTTTGTAAAAAATTTGAGTTCAAACTTAACTCTTTTTTTTTTTTTTTAAACTAAATCCTTAGTATTTAGAAGTCACATTGGTTTTTAATTAATTTAGAGTCAAGTCATATCAAATTCTTTAAGATTGTGTTTTGGAACTTGAATTAGAATTTGATGAGTGTAATTAAAATACATATATTTAAAATACATGTAATTTAAATACATGTATTTAAAAATACATTGTATGGATTAAATAAAAAAATTCAAAGTATGGCATTTCTACAAAAAATAAAAAAAAAGAAAGAAAGTACAGGTGGCATCTCATGTGGCAGCATATGTGGAAAAAAATGGGTTTAACTGCTGATCGTTTAGACGGGAACATGAACAGCATCAGGGAAGGGACGACAATGAACAAAAAAAGAGGAGTAGAGGGACGACATATGGCTCTTTGGTAGAGTAGAGGGATGACAACGAACAAATACTTAGTAGAGGGACAAGAACGAATAAAATATGAAAGTAGAGGGACGACAGTTGGCTTTAAACCGCCTCAAAACTGGTGAAGTTTGGGCAAACTACAGCCCGTGGCTGGGTTCGATTCCCATGCCCCACTCCACTTGAAATTGTACTTGTTTCAGAAAAAAAAAAAAGAAAAAAAAAGGAAAAACATGTTTATAGAGAGGGCAATTCATGTGAGGAAGCATTGGCTTCTCAGTTTTATAATTTGGATAAAAGATTTCATTTATTTGAGTCTCCAAATCTACTATTTATAAGGTGTTTGGATTAATTGTTTAGATACAATTAATTGTTGATATTTGATAACTGATAAATATTATTGTTTGTAATTTAGAGTATCTAATTTTTTTTTATTAAAATTAACAATTAATAATTATTTGCAAAATAACAAAACAAACACCCCTTATATAGTCTCAATGTTATAGTATGCTAATTTAGTTCTTATAGAAGAGAAAACATCAGTTCTAATTCTCTTCAAGTAGCATCATATTTAAACACCCTTGTATTGGAGCATTGAAGGAAACCAAAATTATTTTGGTGATCCGTTTAGGAGCATGATTCTATGCTTCTACAAGAAAGCACCCAAAATGGGTGTTTCCTTTCCGGGCATTGATTCCAAAATGAAAACGTGTTAGTGAGAACACTGAAAATCAAGCCACAAGTCAGGGAGAAGAATGCTATTTGCTCTTATTTAAACATATTTTGTAGCTTTAATTTTGTTCAACTCAAAGGAAGGTACAAGGAATTAAACTGATTTACAAATTCAGTGGCAAAAAATGGTAAAAGAATATATGCTACAGAACAACAAGGCATGAAATTTCAGCTAAACTTGACAAAGTGTTCAGAAGGTTGAAGCTTCTAACAATCTCAGTCTCAGTCGAGCGGAGGGCTGGTGAAGAATGGCAAGCAGCATCAGCAACTAAGCAAACTGTAGAGTTACCAATGACCATGGATGCCTGTCTTTGGTTTCATTTTGAAGATATCTGAATGTTAAAGATTCAAATGGCTGATAACTCTTGATCTGTTAAGTTCTGAATCTATTAGAGAATCCAATGTAGTCAAACAAAATACATAACTGGCAATTGGTAACTTGACTAAGGAGAAATATGAACAAGCCAGTCAGTTGGTCAAATATTCCACAAAGATTGATCCAGGTATTTTCTTCAAGAAGCAAGGAAAATGATAGGAATCTTCAGAATTCATGACTCCAGTTTCTCTCTTATGCGGACAGCAAATCTTTGTACCGACTGGTCATCAAAAAAGCTATCCATCTCCTTGATCTTTGAAAGAAAGTCCATGGCTTCTTTGTATTTTCTTGTTTTACAATAACCATCCACCACAATCTTGTACGTAAGATCATTTGGTCTGCAGTTGTGTTGAATCATGTCGCTGATCACTTCATCTGTTTCTTTGAACATCCCCTGTGCTGCATAGCCTACCAGAAAAGTATTGTAAGTAAAAATACATGGTCGGATCCCTCTGGTTGTCATTTCAGATAGAATTCTTAGGGCCTCCTGCATATGCCTTTGCCTGCAAAATCCTTTAATGACAGTATTGTAAGACACAAGGTCCGGATTTCCACCAGATGTCTGTAGCCCTTTGAGAATTTCCTCAGCTTTCCAACATTCTCCCACCCTGGCATACATGTCCATCAAGCTGTTGTAGGTGACAAGATCAGGTTGCAGCCCACTGAAGCGAATCAAGTTAAATGTTTCATGGGCCTTCTCATACATGCTGTTGTTGGAAAAAATGGAAAGCATTGAATTGAACAAAACCAAATCAAGTTTATAACCCCTCCTTCGCAATTCTTGAAATGCCCTCTCCGTACCCACCAGGGCTCCACATTTGAAGTTTGCACGAACAAGGGTTATTAAAAGTACCTAGCTCGGAAAGATACGACCACCATATATTTCTTTCTCAATATTCTCTATCCCTTTTACATTTCCTCCCTTTGCATAACACTAAAGCATCAAACAGTGTGAGGTTTCATTAGGTCTGAAGCCTTTATTTTTCATGTCTAGAATGACAAATTCTGCTGCTTTCCAGTCACCACGTCTAGCCAAAGCATTTAGAAGCGCATTGTCCGTTGTGGCACATGGCACAAAACCTACTTCAATCATCTCCTCATACATTTTTGTAGCATTAATCTCTGACCCACAGCAACCATAAGCACCTATCAAAGTATTAAATGTGTCTCTATCAGGCTTAAAACCACAACTCTTCATTTCCTAAAGACTCGGTTAACATATTGGTGCATTCCCATGTTACCACACATGGCAAGCACTGTGTTCCATGTGATGCGGTTAGGGGAACATCCACTTGATTTCATGTCACAGAGTATCTTTATCATCCCAAGCACAGCATTGTAAGTGCACATGTTAGGGACACAACCTGACTCTTTCATCTTATCAAACAATTTCAAAGCCTGATCCTCCTCTCCTGCTTTCCCATAGGCATTGATCACAGTTGTATATGTAACAGCATTCGGCATCACTCCTTTATGCATCATTGTCTCAATTAGGGTTGCTCCTTCCTTGTTAAACCCAGCTCTCACATAAGCGGCCACAAGCTCATTATATGTTACAGAGTCAGCAGGATAGTTATTATCCTCCTTCTCTTTCAAAATGCTCAAGGCCTCTGAATAAATCCCTGCCCTACCAAAAACTTGGAGCATTGCATTATAGGTAACCGTCCCAGGTACATAGCCTTGGGACTTCAATTTTGCAAAGAACTCCTTTGCTTCATTTAGCAGACCCTCTCTCCCATAAGCAGATATCACAGTACTGCAGGTAAATTCATCAAATTTGAGTCCTTTGCTTCTCATTTCATCCAGTAGGCCTAAAATTTTATTCCAAGAGCGACCTATCTTCCCATAAACATCAAGCATGACATTATAAGTGACTAAAGTAGAAGACAGCCCTGTCTCCTTCATTCTCTCAAACACAGAGATTGCTCTTTTGTACTTGCCAGCACGAGAATACACATGAAGAATGGTGGTATATGCTCGAACATCAAGAGAATAATCCTCAAGCAGAATTACATTGAGCAGCTTGGATACAATCGAATGCTGTGATTCTCTCCCAAGAATTCTAACCATTAGCTCAACTACCTAATTGTCTATTTTGACATTAGAAGACTTTAAATTTAACACTACCCATTCAAAGAATAAAAGGGTTCTTTCCCAATTGCCCGAACGATCTAGTGCTTTCAATAAACTAAATATATCAGCTTCAAGCAGCATAAACTTGTTAGAATCGAAGAAATCATTCAAGCTATGCAATGGCTGTTCCACAATTGAGTCCAACATAAACCTACCCTTTCTCAACAAAAATTCAAACGACCCATCTCCCAACTGACCCTCCTCCTTACTGTCGTTCAACTGCAAGACTGAAACCGAACTGGGTTTCCTGGGATGTGCTTCTCGATTCATATTTTGACTAGAATCAACAGAAATATGTAGAGAAGTCATCTGGGTATTATTGCTCTGAGGTTTGGACCAGCGGGTAGCGTTTGGTGTGGCAGAGAGGTTGAGGAGGTGTTGCAGGAGAGAATCCAGGGGAAATGAGGGAGGAGTTTGGGATTGAGGAGGCAGTGGAAGTGTGGTGGGGCTCAATTTCAGAGTTGGGTTTGGTCGTGCTGGTCTATTCATGGCGGCGTGATGGAGTGGGCGATTGGGGAGGATGCTTCCCTCCATTTCCGAGGAAAAAGGATGGGTTTTTTTGGGTTTGGGTTGAGATTCAGATTTGGATGTTTTCAGGGGAAGATTGGATTGGGATGGCACATGGCACTGGCAGTGTGAGGATATGGAAGAGGCAATCTACGATGACTGGTGTTGATTGAAGATGGAATTAGGCAGCAGGATTGGGCGCCCCGTCTGGAAGGCTGGTTTCGTTTATGGATCATCCTGTCATTTTACGTTTCGCATCTCAAATGGTAGACGCAAAGGCAAAAGATCTCTTTTTAATTTCTTTCTTCGTTTCCTTCTTTCTTCTTCTTCTTCTTCTTCTTCTTCTTCTTTCTTCCTT